AAAAACTTGGGTTACAGGAGATTTGCGCCAGGCCCACCCCAATTCAGGTTGGAAAAACCCAATTCAAGTGTGAATGACCCACTTTTAAACTGGTTTGCGGACAAGTTTATCATGTAGTGTGAATGACCTCCTTATGTTCATACAGAAATGATAGAACCTGACAGGTATATTGTAGTGTCCTTTGTTCGTCAATTACGTATTGCATGCAACAGCGGTGGGAAACACCTTAAGCCCTCTGGTTATTTTGGACGTCATTGTGGATAGCGGCCAAAGGTTCAGAAAATTGTTGTCTAGCAACATCTGGGCCCTGTCTGTAGGGGCCAAATAACACACTTTCTCACCCATTTCAGTCCAGATGATGCAGGGCTCAGTCCCTAGTCATGGTGCAAATTGTCGAGATAACATACAGCCAGTTCATCACTGAACCCAAGATATACAACCCTTAAAATGGACTAATAAAAGTGCCTTTTACTCTGGATCTTCTAGGACAATCTAGAGCCCTCTGGTGATACCAGGTGGCTGTTTACAATGTGTCCCATTGTGCCAACTGCCACCACCACCATTGGCACAAGTTGCTCTCTCTGAGATGAGAACCCAGCCATGTGATTGACTCTGGGCACTTTATTTCTGACTTCAGAGGTAGTGATTTGGTGTGGCGGCAGTGGACAACCAAATAGAGGTTCATGCGAACAGCCACCCAGTATCACTTTGGAGTGTCAGGTAATGGAAGGGACATTGGGTCATCTTCAGAGGCAGAATACTCTGGGCTGCTCCCAGAGTATTTTGGCCCATGCAGACTCTGTCCTGGAGGGTCTAAAGTCTCTCCACTCTTGACATACAACTTCTAAAAATATCAAACCATTTAAAAGGCACTCTAATTTAAGCCACAGAAAAAGAAATTTGATGAGAAAACCCAGACAAGAGTATGCTTAATGAGTGTCCTGGAAATATCTGTTTGCAGCGTTTTAGCAATGGATCCATTTTTAAATAAATGGATGGCATGAGAAAGCTTTTTCTGCCACAAGCTTTTGTCGCCTGTCAGATGGGAAGTAAATTGAGGTATCTTGATTAGCTACAAATACAGCCTGGCTCCTTTGCCTGGTTACTGGAGCAGACAGAATGGATCACTTGCGTTCGGAAGATAGCCTCGACCATAAACTGGATTGTTACTCTAAGCCGAACAGGAGAAACAAATCACCTTTATTATATTTTTGTACAAATGCCATTAGGAGAAGATATACCAGGTGACACTTTATGATTCTACCTTTTAATTAGGTTCTTGTAAGAGACCATAGAAAGCCCCATCAGTGTTATGTTTCATGAAGCCTAGTATCTGTCATGATAATTAATGTGTGGTTTGATTACAAAAGGAAATGTTAGACTTCTTTGCTGCAGCTGCAGCAATATCCCAGCATTAGAAATGTAAATAACCTTTTCTTTGCAACTGATGACTAATATGCTAGAGGGAGAACTTGGAAAAGTCCCTATTTTGGACAACCACCTCCAGAATCCACCAGTCAGTAGGCCTAATGGGAGTTGTAGTCCATAAAAGTAACTTTAACATGTTTTGGGGCTCTTAGATACAGCAGAAAGAAAGCAGTTTGACACCACTTTAACAGTCATGACTCCATCTTGTGGGATCCTGGGATCTGAAGTTTGGCAAGGTATTCAGCCTGCTCTGTTAAAAAGCTCTGGTGCCTCACCAAACGACAAATCCCAGGATCCTGTAGGATAGACTCATGACAGTTAAACTGGTGTCAAACTGCTTTATTTCTGCAGAGTAGATACACCCTATGTTAGACGTCATAAAGTGTCCTGGGCTGTTCTATGGGATTGTGCATTTTCAAAACACTTCTATTTTTTTTAAAAAATCCAGGATTGCAAGAGATAAGGCAGCCACAACATTTCCCCCTTATTCTCTTCTTTGTTCTATGATCCACCCCACTTCCAAGTACTGGAAGGTGGTCCAAGCATGGTGTGCAACAAACAGGGAACACAACAGAAGAAATCATGGTGGTCTTGTCTCTTGACTAAGCAGGAGCCTGAAAAACTGGCAAATGCTTTCTTGCCTAAAATGTTGCTCTACCAATACAGATTGCTCTACACATGACAGGATCAGTAGATGCCTTCCCAGTAGTCTAAGGTGCTACAACCAAGGCATAGATGAATAACTATCTTTAGAAAGACTGCTGTCTGGCACTTGCTTTTAAGCAGGGATGGGCACCTCCCCAGGGTCATGGGGCCACATTGAACCATGAAACCCCCCAGAGTGACACCACCAAAGCCACTACTGAAATGCATTGCCTGCCACTCAGATTCATGCATTGCAGTTGCCACCAAAATTTGGCAAGTACTATGATGACTCCCTATTGTCCATGACAGAGAGAATCTTCTTCCCCTATAGAATCCTTCAAAGTAACAGGGTAGAGTATCTCCTTTTCCTCTCTAAGGGCAGGAGGAAATGGGCAGGTTTAGCAGTTGAAATATATATCAGCAGGAATGTGTGTTGACCATTGCTTCAAGTAGCAATGGCAGCCACTGGGGGTGAAGCAAACCATAGGTGTAGTGGAGAGATGCAAGCGTCCCATGTATTGTATACCTCTGTTTTAAAGGTAAGTTAATCAGAACTGTTGACTGCTGTTGTGACAAAATGTAGTGTACATTCTGCAGTTGCAAAATTCACTAACTGCAAGTTGTCGTTCCAAAATGCTCTCTTCTATACCACTTTTTAAAGGTATAGACTCCTTATTCTCCTTTGCATCTAATTACCCCATTAATGATCACAGGAATTAATGGGTTGGATCTAAAGTTAGTCATGCTTAGAGAGGACTCACTGAGACCCATTTTAGTCATGGCTAAATTAATTCTCATTTAGTTTAATGGACCTACTACCTTCAGCATGACTGGTTTGGATCCAACTCAATGTCAAAGAAATGTTTTTCTGGACACTGTGGGAAAACGTTCAGCACAAGTTTTATTCCACAAGCAGTGTAATAGTGGTAACATGGGGACATAAGTTTTGATTGCTTCTGTTTAGTAGCTTTGACTGTTTCTATTTTGCACAACAATGAAAAAGTTGCTTCTTCTGATATAGCTACAGTGTGAGAAAGGGCTTGAGCATCATTTCTCACTTTCTCTTGCATTTCTGATCAGTGGTTTTCTATAGCTCATCATCAATGTCAGACAATTTATACTGGCCTATGTATAGAGGAAGCAACATCAGCAAATGAGCAGTAACCAACTTTATTGGAAAGAAGAGGAAGTAACCCTTAGGAACAGCTCATTGAGTTTTTGAAGAACAGTTTCAAAATGCCACTATATTGGCTTAAATTCTTGTTCAGACATGGATTGACAGAAATATTGTATATAGCTTATCAGTGAAAGGTGTACTGTTGATTTTCTGTATCCCCAGGTTCTTTATCCATGGATTCAACCATCCCTGACTTGAAAATATTTTTTTAAAAATTCCAAAAAGCAAACCTTGCTGATTGCCATTTAAATAAGGGACAACATTTTCCTATGTGATTGAGCTTCCAAAGATGTTGGTATTTACAGGGGGCCCTGGAACTAAACCCCAGAGGATGCCAAGAGCCCATTGTGTAACACTTATTTTAGTGCATTATATAATTCTATCAAATTGCAACTGAGATTTCTTCCTTTGGCATCATTTTGTAATTGTTAATCTTTTCTTTTGTGTGCTAAATAGCTTGCCAAAACAAATCTGACATAAAGTGTCTTGTAGCGGCTAATTCTGTCCTGCCACATGGTAATTTCAGTCTTCCTTCCATGCTATGAAGACAGGATTGTACTATTGGTTACTTTAGTGTTATCTTGCCATGCTAAAGAGTAAAATTAATTTCCCTAAATTTCCCCAGCTGAAGTGTATTTATGCCAAATTAATAGGAGCACAATGTGGATAAACTAGACTCTTTGGTCTAGACTTCTGGTGTATCCATCTATAGGGATCTAATTCACCAATTTTCTTCTCATGAGAAACAATGAATATGGGTGGTATTGTAAAGTTTTAATTATCACCCTTAAAATATTTGACAGAAAGTTTGTTTTGATTTGTAGTTGTTAACTTATTTCT